TTCAAGTATTTTTGCACATAATGAATATTCAACTCACAGTTAGGACTTTTTCCATTTTCTTGTCTACAGGGGATTCTTGAGAAAGTGAGGATCATCCCTTCAAAGAAAAAGGCTGTCAGTATACTTGATGATGTTAGCGGCATCGTGAAACCTTCGAGGTTCGTTTATGGAAACTCTATAGAAACGCAAATTTGCTTTCAATTTGACACTGGTTTTTACGTGCCTAGCTCTGAAAAGGCAAATAAGAATAACACAAACAAATATGAATATATCGAATATATCTCAACCTTAGTGTGATGGCTAGGGATGTCAGTTAACATTTATAGTTATATGTTTGCACATACAGTCAGCCAACCTGATGAAAATGCATAATTCTCTTGCTCATTTTATAGGATGACACTACTTCTCGGGCCTCCAGGCGCTGGAAAAACTATACTGCTAAAGGCTCTTGCAGGAAAGCTCGACAAAGATCTTAAGGTGCATTGAAACTTCAACTTGTTATTATCATACATTTTTCGTCTTTCCTTAGCCTCATCCCAAAAATATAATTTTTTTTTTTTTTTTCTTTTCCTTGAAATGGTAGGTAAATGGAAAAATCACCTACTGTGGTCACGAGTTCATGGAATTCGTTCCCCAGAGGACATGCTCTTACATAAGCCAACATGATCTTCACCATGGAGAGATGACTGTGAGGGAGACATTAAATTTTTCGGGACGTTGTTTGGGAGTCGGAACTCGATACGACCTTCTTGTTGAATTAGCAAGGAGAGAAAAAGAGTCCGGGATTAAACCGGACCCTGAAATCGACGCATTCATGAAAGCCACAGCTGTAGCTGGCCAAGAATCAAGTCTAGTAACAGACTATGTGCTCAAGGTTTGTATTTGTTGTTTTCCTCTTTCACTTAACACGTCGAAATAGATAATCAAAGAAAAATGCTATCTTATGCCATTGAGATTTTATTTTATTCTTTTTTAATTTTTAATTTTTTTTTATCTTGATTGCAGATTCTTGGTTTGGATATATGTGCTGATATATTGGTTGGAGATGAGATGAGACGGGGAATATCAGGTGGACAGAAAAAGCGGCTCACGACCGGTAAATTTATGACAGAATTAATCTGTGAAATTGTTGGTGAATTTGTTAGTTATTATGATTGTTAACTTTTTTTTTTTGGGCTGATGTAATAGGTGAAATGTTGGTGGGACCAGCGAAAGTTTTCTACATGGATGAAATATCGACTGGTCTCGACAGTTCGACTACTTTTCAAATCGTTAAGTACATGAGGCAGATGGTTCACATCATGGATGTGACCATGATAATATCCCTCCTCCAACCTGCACCCGAAACTTTCGAGCTTTTTGACGACGTTATTTTGCTCTCGGAAGGTAAAATCGTCTACCAAGGTCCTCGTGAAAACATTCTCGAGTTTTTCGAGAGTGTTGGGTTCAAGTGTCCAGAGAGGAAAGGTGTAGCTGACTTTCTACAAGAAGTCACCTCAGTAAAAGACCAAGAGCAATACTGGTTCAAGAAAAACGAGCCTTACAGATATATTTCGGTGGAAGAGTTTGTGTCCCACTTCAGATCCTTCCATATTGGTGGAAGAGTTTGTGATGAGCTGGCGGTACCATATGATAGATCCAAAGCCCATCCAGCTGCATTGGTCACTGAAAAATATGGGATCTCGAACATGGAGCTTTTCAGGGCTTGTTTGTCCCGGGAATGGCTTCTGATGAAGCGGAATTCTTTCTTGTATATATTCAAGACTTTCCAGATAACTATAATGTCGATAATTACGTTCACGGTGTTTTTCAGAACAGAAATGAGGTCTGGGCAGTTGGTGGATGGAGGGAAATTTTACGGCGCATTGTTTTTCAGCCTCATTAATGTGATGTTTAATGGCACAGCAGAGCTTGCTCTGACAGTTCTTAGGCTTCCCGTGTTTTTTAAGCAAAGGGATGCTCTGTTTTATCCGGCTTGGGCATTTTCCTTACCAATTTGGCTTGTGAGGATACCGCTTTCTCTTATGGAATCATTGATATGGATTGTTCTTACTTATTATACTATTGGATTCGCTCCTGGGGCTGACAGGCACGTGTGATTGTGATTCTCATCTGAATTATTTTAACTTTTTTTTTTGGTTCTTGGTTTACATGATGTATTAGCATCTTAGTGGATAAACTTGTCTATACTGACATGGTGTTATTACCATTTTTTTATTTTGTTTTTTCAGATTTTTCCGCCAATTGCTGGCATTTTTTGCACTGCATCAGATGGCTTTATCCCTATTCAGATTTATTGCCGCACTTGGACGAACACAGGTGGTTGCAAACACTTTGGGTACTTTCACTTTGCTGATGGTCTTTGTTCTTGGTGGTTTTATTATTGCCAGAGGTTAGTTAACTCTGCTGTTAATTGTATATCACAATTTGCACTCTTTCTTTCTATTAAATAAAATAAAAATAAAAAGTTCCTTTGCATGTTGTTGTAAAAAATTCCTTTGCATGCATCTCTCTGGGAGTTTGACTTAAATCATTTCCATATGCATCAGATGACATCGAGCCATGGATGATCTGGGGCTACTATGTTTCTCCCATGATGTATGGTCAGAATGCTATAGCCATCAACGAATTTTTGGATAAAAGATGGAGCTCTGTAAGTACTTGTGTTAATCTTTTGAGTTTTTACAATAATCAAGACGACGTTTGGATGTGCTTGCTTTAGGAAAATCTTATGAATGGCTAGAATTTTATTTTGAAAATTTACATAACAATTTGATTTTGAGAAACAGTACATTTTCATAACTTACATATTGATCTCATATCTGATGTTATTTTCTTTTCAGCCAAACCCCGACAGCAGATTTAATGAACCAACAGTTGGCAAGGCTCTTCTGAGAATGAGGGGAATGTTTACAGAGGATTATATGTACTGGATATGTGTTGCTGCTCTATTTGCGTTCTCGATTTTCTTCAACATCTGCTTCATTATTGCACTCTCGTATCTGAACCGTAAGATTTTTGATCTTATGTTTCTACTTAGATTATTTTCTGTAATTTTGTTCCTGATTTTGGCCGTATATCTCATTTATGCGTAGCTTTCGGAGATTCAAGGTCTGTTACTGTGGATGGCAATGACAAGAAGAAAAAGAATCTTGCCGTCTCAGAAAATTTGAACACTGATAGTAGAACTGCAGCCTCGTCAGGTCCCAAAAATGGAGGTCTGAGATCATATGTGATTTAATTATGTTTATTTTAATAAAGTATGCTACTGTTTGGAATATAGCAAGCTACTTTAGGCAAAAAGTCAAGTTGATGGAGAAGAACATAGAATGTTATAGGTTTCTTTCTCCTTTTCACACTTTGATCACCTGAGATTAATAAAGTTCTCTATGAACGTACTTTTAAAAGAGAGATCTTGATTGGCTTATTAACATTAGCCATATGTGTAATCTAAGTTTTTACACAATTAATCCATTTTATATCTTTACTTCAATGGTAATCATAATTATTAACAATGCAAATTTTGAATGATATACCATGGTTGTGGATTGTTGTTCGACCTTCATTGGTGTTACATTCATCGGTAATTGTGGGAACCCCCTATTTTCCATTATATTGCAATCCATTCTAAATGTTAACGAGCATTAAATATTACAGGCAACGGCAAGCCTACTAAGAGTGATTCTGAAGGAAGCAGCCGAGCAGAAACTGCAAATGCGAAGAAGGGAATGGTGCTCCCATTCACCCCGTTGTCACTAGCATTTGATCATGTGAACTACTATGTTGATATGCCTGCTGTAAGTCAATTTGTCGTAAGACTTAATGCATTTTAACTGCTCATGAACTGTACTAGCAGAGCTTATGTCATGAACATCTTATAAAAATCTGCTTCATTCTGTAAAGGACAAGATGCATATATGACAAAAGACAGAGTTGATAATCTTTTCATTTTCTTAGGTGTCATAAATTCCAAGTGGAAGTTTGATGGGTTGGAAAATTTTAAATTTGACTTTAGAAAACAACTGACTCGTGACTGTCTATTCATGAAATATAGCCAGAGTGCAGAAATATGTGATGCAAAAATCTTGATAAGAGTTAAAGGAATAGGATAACAATTCTTAACCTGACTATACAACTTTGAACTCCATTTTAATCAATTTTATTTTTATTTTATTTTTCTTTGTATAATGATCTCAAGTTATTACAGAATTGATAAATCTTTCATTTTCTAAATTCTGGAAAATTTTAAATTGACTTTAGAAACCAACTGACTTGTGACATTCATGAAATGTAGCCAGCGCACTAATATGTGATGCAAAAATCTTAAGAAGAGCTACAAGAATAGGATAACAATTCTTAACCTGACTATACAACTTTGAACTCCATTTTGTTACTCAGCAACTATACTTATTTTTTTCTTTCTTTCCTTTGAAACAATGTCATATTATTGAATAATGATACTTGGGTAGTGAAGCAAACAACAATAATAGATTATCTGTTTAACTTGTAGGAAATGAAAAAGAGTGGGATTGAAGAAACTCGTCTTCAACTGTTGAGAGATGTTAGTGGAGCCTTCAGGCCTGGAGTGTTGACTGCACTAGTCGGCGTGAGTGGGGCCGGCAAGACGACCCTTATGGATGTTTTGGCGGGAAGAAAAACGGGTGGAACTATCGAGGGCAGTATAAACATTTCTGGTTATCCCAAGAATCAGTCGACTTTTGCCCGAATAAGCGGCTACTGTGAACAGACTGATATACATTCTCCCCATGTCACTGTGTATGAGTCGATTGTGTACTCTGCCTGGCTGCGTCTTTCTCCGGATGTCGACAAGGAGACTCGCAAGGTATGGTTGCTTAACCGTGATTCGTGATATTTGCTTATATTTTCTTTGAAAATTTTTAAAATGAAAACTAATATCCTAGACGTGCTTGTATACAAATATATACCGCTAAAAACGAGTTTTTTTGGTTAACCAACGTTAATTTTGAAAAATGTGTATGGTTAGTTGTTAATGAGATTTTGAGTTTATATTAAAATAATATTTAAAATAAAATAATTAAAGTTGATTTGATGCAAAAGTATGAGAGAGATGATGTGCAGTGATGATTAGTTAAAATTATGTGAGTGGATGAATAGTGAATTAAAGTTGATGTGATATGTAAGAATGATTGGTTGGTATTATTTGATTATATCGATAATATTGAAGATAGTGGAGTTGAGTTGAAGTTGAGTTAGATTTTGAGTGTGAATTGAGTATGAATTGAAATAATTTATAAACAAACACACCCAATTTAGACTTCTAATGCTGCTGTTGTTAATCCTTTTTTTATTATTATTATTATTATTATTATTTTCAAATGAGTAAAAGCTTTCATACACTTCCATTTACTAACTCCATGGTGTTCCCTCTCTAACCTACTTTGCTCCCGCTTCAAACAAATCACCACTTTCTTTTTTTCCTTTTTTTTTCCCTCCAAAAACACTCACTAAAACTGAAAAGAATAACCATAATCTCACCCTACTC